AATTTGGAAACATGAGCATGTTTCAGATCATGATTTATATCATGATTTAAATTTTTTATGTGACTTGAGAAATGTGCATCAAATAAGGTCATTAATGCAAACATATAACTTGTTTTATATTGTGGACTTCCCAACTAGGATTGTAAAAGAATCCTGCACGGCCATTGATAATATTTTTTTGCACTATAGTAAATACATATCATGTGCACTCTGTAAAAAATGATCTATCAGCTCATGATGCACAATATCCAGTGATAAATAATGTCTATGGAACTCAGCGGAATACGAATACACCTGTTAAAAAGAGGTTAATAACTAAGACTGGAGTCATGATGTTTATGGACACACTACAAAATGAAACATGGGATATGACCCTTAGTAGTGTGGAGGTAGATGCAAGTTTTAATGCATTCTTAAACACATTTATAGTCATTTTTGAATCATGCTTCCCCATGCAATTTGTGATGGATATGGGGCATAAAAATCAGTGGATAACTGGTGGAATAAAAGTGTTGTGTAGATGTAAAAGATACCTCTACATAATAAGTAGAGTAACTCATCATATTAAAATAAGAGAATATTACTCCTGTTACTGTTCCATATTAAGAAGAGTCATTAGAAAAGCTAAAGAGATGTACTACAATGAAATGTTAATGAAATCCACAAATAAATCTGAAATGTCTTGGAAAATTATAAATAATGAAATTGGTTGTGTAGCTAAAAGAAAAGCTGCTCCGGCAGACTTCAAAAATGGTGAAATCAAAATTGAAATTAATAAAGCAGCTGGGTTTTTTAATACCTATTTTATAGATTCAGTGGAGAAATTAATTAGTCAGTATCCAAAAACTGAGGATGAGTGGTCAGCAACAATAAGTAGTCTTACCGATAAATTTCCTGAAATAGTTAATATTCCAATTACATCATCAGAAATTTCTGGCGTAATTTCATTACTAAAGAATAAGGGTTCCTGCGGATATGATGGTATATCAAACAAATTCATAAGACTGTGTAGTAAACAAATAACCAAACCACTTATGCATATTTTTAATCTATCCCTAACCACTGGAATTTATCCAGATCGGTTAAAATATGCCAATATTATACCATGCTTTAAGAAAGGTAGTATTACAGAAATATCTAACTACCNTATACATGTGGTATCACTCTCTTTACAGGTAAACCTTATTGATGAATTTACATTAGTAACATAATTGGTTTCATCTCATTATAGGTGTTAAAGATATGTAATTACAATTCACATATTACACAATACCTTTTTTGTTGTTGTTGTTATCTGTTTCATGGTTGTACAGGTTACTCCCCTGCGTCGTATAACTAAATTTTGCTTTCATGTGGTACTGTTTGAAGCACCCGAGAATGCACAGTCCCATATCACATTTCTCTCACTTCGTCTGAACACGTTTCCTCTTTCCATGTGCAGAACCATTCCGGTTCTATTTTCATTCCACTTCAAGCACTGTATATATATCAGACTTTCAAGGTTCGTTCCTGTGGATATGATGGTATATCAAACAAATTCATAAGACTGTGTAGTAAACAAATAACCAAACCACTTATGCATATTTTTAATCTATCCCTAACCACTGGAATTTATCCAGATCGGTTAAAATATGCCAATATTATACCATGCTTTAAGAAAGGTAGTATTACAGAAATATCTAACTACCGGCCCATTTCCTTGTTGACAGGGTTTTCCAAAATATTCGAGATACCAATATGTAACTGAGTAATACAGCATTTAACAAACAATAATGTTATTGTAGATAATCAGTTTGGTTTCAGAAAGGGTGTGTCGACTCAAAAAGCTATTTTTACGGTTACTGATTATATTTATAAAGCATGGAACAATAAGGAGATGGTTGTGGGGATTTTTTGTGACCTCACTAAGGCATTTGACTGTGTCAATCATGACCTGCTTGTCCAAAGATTTAAACACTATGGAATAAAAGGATCTCTACTTAAGAGTGCATGAAACATACCTGTATAACAGGAAGCAAAGACTCATACTACAGACTCAAGACTCAATTTCATATGTTTCTAAGTGGAAAACTAGAAACGTGGAGTTCCACAGGGATCTATACTGGGACCTTTGTTGTTCATTGTATATATTAATGATCTGCCTAGAATTCTAAATGGGTTGACACATACGGTTCTATATGCAGACGACACCACTTTTATTGTCTCTTCACAGGATATTAGTAGCCTTAATAACAAAATTAATTTAGTAAATGAGACATTTATATAGATGGTTCCAAGCTAACCAATTAATACTACATTAAAAAAAAACCATGTAATGAAATTTATGACCCCTAAAGCCACAGACTATCCATTACATATAATATATAATGATCAAACACTTAAATTTTCTGTAAATGTTAAGTTTTTAGGTGTGTGCCCGGACAATCATTTGGGCTGGGGAAAATATTCTGATGATGTGATAAATAAGTTGAGTGTTGCAACCTTTGTGCTTAGAAAACTACAGCCTATAGTAAGTAGGCAAGTGTTGAAAATGGCTTATTGTGCTTACTGTCAAGCTCAACTTAAATATTGTGTTATTTTCTGGGGCTCTTCTTCATCATCAATGAAAAGAGTTTTTGTGGCTCAGAAAAGAGCAATTAGAGCAATGTTAATGATGAGGCCTAGAAGTTCTTGTAGAGAGGTTTTCAGATAATTAGGGATACTTACAGTTCCCTGTTTGTTTATATATGCCAT